AGTCTACTTCGACATGCATAAGGGAGTAACTGCAATGATCGATTCTCTTCGTCGATTTTCTCTTTTGTTAAGTCGACAGTGAGCATGCATAAGGGCGAATACGCGATGATCGATTCTCTTTATCGATTTTCTCTTTGCATTGCTACAGCTAAGTGAAACAATTTTCTAGAATTTGTTTAATGCAGAGTAGTAACAGGTTGTATTGGCTATCAAAAGCAACATCAAACGCACCGAGAAACGTTAAGTCTAGCGAGTTATTAACAAAAGAGAAAATCGACGAAGAGAATCGATCATCGCGTATAGGCTCTTATGCATGCTCACTGTCGAAGTACTCGCTTTGATTAACATTTATCGGTGCGTTTGTTTGTTTGATAGCCAATACAAACTGTTACAGCACTGTATTGGACAAATTTCAAAAAATTGCGTCCCTTGGCTGTAGTAATTTAAAGAGAAAATCGACTAAGAGAATTGATCATCGCAGTTAGGTCCTTATGCATGCTCACCACTGTGGATTTGAAAAGTGACGCAAGATTTCTTTGAACGGATGATACCAACTCGGGCAACTCTGGTGGGGATTCAAAGAGAAAATCGACGAAGAGAATTTATTAATATTACTTAGAATCTAATCCATTGTTCGGCTTGAATTCTACTTAGAGCAATCTCCAAATTAACAAATTAATTAATAAATCAAACTGAATAATGCATTAGGTCTTATGTAGTAACATTGACAGATTCTCTTTGTCGACTTTCTCTTTGCATTCTCGCGGCCATGTTAAGACATTTCTCGCGCAACACGAGAAACTCGATGAAGAGAATCGATCAATTTTACTTAGGACCTAATGCATTGTTCTGCTTGAAATGTACTAGCTGATTCACCTTACGCTACATTGATCGATTCTCGTCATCGACTTTCCGTTTGAATCGCCACGGACGTGGAAAGTCATTTCCGGATATTTTCGACACACAGTTCGACTAAAGAAGCAGGTTAGGTTAGGAGAGGCTTTCAACCATTGGAATTAAAGAAGCATCCATCTAGCTTATAATACGACAAACACGACAGGAAACATTTCTAGAGTAACATTTGAAATGGGCCTATGTCCAAAACGTAAACAAATCTGGTTTTGCTACCATTCTTTAGCACTGCTTAATAGCTACTAATCGTGTAGGAAAGTTCCGTATAATCGAGAAAAATCATTAAAAACAACTCGATTTTCGAAACGGCCGGTCAACGAAATTTTTCGATTCATTAATAGGCCCGCACGCTAAAACGGCCAACCATTCATTTATTTCATTTCATTGATAAGCCTAGTGACGTAGAAGGGCCGATGATTGAAAAATTTCAAACCAAAGCTAGGCCCTACTGCTTGAGGCAGGGCCGATGATTTGTTTTGAATTTATTTGACGTTGCGAAAAGGCTTAGCAAAGGGCCTACCACAGGGGGTAAGTCACTCTGCCACCTTGTGCTAAACACATCAAAAACACCTTCGACACACTCAAACACCCTTTAATCACCATGAGAACAATTTTTCAATCATTTTTGGCAGCACTGCCTAGAGCCAAGAATGTTTACATTCGTGTGATGCTCTTTTTTGTTTTTGTTGCATTTTCTTAAGTATAGAGATCACCCACCAGCAATCGGTAGGATTCCACAGAAATCTGATCGGGACACGGACTCCTGATTTCGTCGAACATCTGTCGGTATCAGCAACCGGTGAACACTCGAATTTATTTCAGTTACCGTGGGGACGTAATTTGTGATTAGCCCCGGTCCCTTTCAAATCGTATCATTATTTATGTACGGTCCTTATATTTGAAATGACGTTTCACATTCATCTAGTGATGGCCGATTTTCATTCGAATAATCGATTAATCGATTAACGAACCGAAAAGTAAAATATTTCTAATCGGTTATACCATGCCGATATAAGCATTAACTTCTTCAGAGGATCATCACCGATCGTTTCAAACATATTTTGCACTTTCATTAGTGGAAAATGACAGGACAGCGAACAAAAAATAATCGATTAGTTGTTAATCGAGTAATTAAAAAATGGGACATCTCTGATTTTGGTGTGAATGTTTTGATAAAAAAGCGCGCAAAATTGCATCTCTACCGAGGGGGCAGCCAAACCACAAAATTACCTTGTATACTGGGGGTATTAATTGGATGAAAGGGACCGTGAAAGAGGACACTTAAATTGAAAGTTTTTCTTCCGACAGTTTCATCTTAGTATTCATCTTTGGTATCAGGGTCGGTATGCGGAATTTCGAGCGGTGGACCGAGTTGCGACGATCTGGAACGGGAGGATTATGACGGTTCCGTGTTCGAGGTCGGATGTGTTTACAAGTCGGGACGTAAATGTGGTGGAGAAGCGACTGTTGATGAAGTTTCTGCAGAGTTACGCAAGTTGGGAAGGGAGCGAGCATCAGGCAGCGGAAGTCGAGGGAAAGACGTTCCTGGAGTATTTGAAGAAACAAAAGTTGACCTCGAATTTGATCCATTACTTGTTGTACACAATCGCCATGGGGAATGACCACATTAGCTGCCGGGAAGGGGCGAAGAAGTTTCTGCTTAGTTTGGGTCGATACTGAAACAGCCCGTTTCTGTTTCCGATGTACAGATGCGGGGAGATTCCGCAGTGTTTTTGCCGGCTGTGCGCCGTTTTCGGAGGGATTTATTGTCTGGGTAAGCCGATCGGGAGTATTCATTTAAAGCGAGATGAAAGGGGCTATCATTTGTTAAAGTTCGGCAAACAGATGATAGAGGCCAAAGGGTTGGTCATAGGGCAGGGGTACGTTGAGAAGGAGATTTTCGGAGTAAAGGAAGGCTCGAGGGAAAAGAAGTGAAAGGAGCACTGTGGTCAAATGGCACGTGCTATATTTTTAACGAATGTTCCATTGGGTGTTGCATCGCAGAATTCCGGTGGAGGTGGCGTGTCGCTGATAAAACTGTCCCCTGTGGAAGGGCACGAAGATGGGGCTACCATTATTCAGTTGGCACACTTGCCCGAAGGACATTTGTAAGTAATCAGGTCTGCCTAGGCGTGTGGACAATTTATAATTTATTTTGATTGTTTTCAAGATCTCATCCACGTGACGGCAAAATCCATCAGCGGTAACCCGAGGGCAGATTTGGAACCTTACGTGTCTCTCAAAAGCTTATTTCATACCTCCGGAAGAGCTTGCGGAAGACAAAGAAGCACCGGAGAATAACGTATCAATAATCCTCTACGAGTTGTACTTCAACATTCCGAAATGCGTAGTGTGCCAGCATCCGTCCGGCTCCCTGCCGGAAGGAATCCATCTGGCCTGCGGTCCGCTTTACGAATTGGACTACGATGAAAGCATAGTGCGAGCGCGTTCGATCTTTAAGGATATCTACCCGGAAGAGGAGTTCCTGCCGCGGGCTCCCGATCCGGAGGAGATCATTATCGGCGACGAAGAGGTCGGTGCTGCCGACCAAGCACTGGAAGTCGTGGCCAGCGCCGAAGAAAGCGACAAGGTGGAAAGCGCTCGGGAGTGTCAGGAAAGTGATGCGAGCTCAGAACCAGCTGCCGCCACAGCACCGGGGATTTCCGACGCCCAGGAAGCGAAAGAAAACTCGATCGACAATGCCGAAGAATGCCTGGAGCAGAAATAATCAAACATTTGCACGCTTTTGCTTGCTATTCCAACTGTGTTGATATCGCATTGGAATCAGCTGTGATAGATGTAGTGGTTGCCAGAAAACTTTATTTTTCACTCAACGTTTTGACAACTATGTTGACACGCTGAAACACCTTCCGACACCCAAAAACACCGAAGAAACACAATAAGCACGGACACAAGGTGGCAGAGTGACGTACCCCCTGGCCTACCATTTCTGATGACAAGCACAACGGCTTAACAAAAAGGGCCTATCCATTGAAAGATTCACAAAAAAGGCTTATTAATTTAAGAAATTATATTGTTATCGATTTTCATATAATTTTGAAAGCTTTTCGCATATTTTGGATGTTGTATACTGAGATACAGTTACTATTGTTATTGTGAACAATATAAATGCCTAAAATACTTCACTTTTTTTTATAAATATGAATTGAATAATGACGGTCAAAATTTAAAATTCATTTTCTGGTTTGTTTACGTTTTAGACATAGGCCTATTTCAAATGTTACTCTAGATTTCAGTAGCCGAATTATCAACGAAGTCGATAGAAGTTTTCTAAGGACTGTCCAGTAACTTTTTCATTTTACGTTATATCCGTACTGTTTATTCGGGATATGTTTAGATTATCAGGGGACCACAGCTATAAAGCAATACCATGCTGGAGACGGCTGTGTTCTATTATCGGTCACGACTTCCCTGGGCATTAGAGTATGATTGTACTTGCATTGCCACGTAAAAATGGTACAGGCTTAGAAAGCTCTCAATTAACAACTGTGGAAGTGCTAAAAAAAACACTAAGTTGAGGGCCGACGTAAAGTTTCAGTAGGGACGTAATAAAGCTAACGACGAAGGAGTCTAGCAAAGAATCGCAATGCGATTTCAATACTTTGGATCCCCACATATTACATACATGGAATTTTTAACGATTTCAATAGTCTACCCTACGTTTCGCCCATTGATTGTGACATTTATCGAGTAACATTTTGGCTCAATCTAACTTGCCGTTTTGAATACTCCATTAGCCTGTCTGTTTTGTAGGCTTTCCGACCTTTCTTTACGAGGACATCGAAACATAGATCAGGAGATAATGGTCCCTGAAATGCTTCAACTGCGACCGGATCTAGAATATAAACGACTTAGAGTAGGTTGAAATACACTGTAGAAGCTATGTACAAACATGTGACCACCTTTCGATTTCAGATCACACATTTCCAAAAATGCTTCTATAGTTGCTCTGTGCACGGATCGATGCTGGTCTGGAGAACGAGAATCTACCAAACCGTTAAGATTGAATGTGCACTCAAACTTATCTAGAGGAAATGTAAAAAAAAATATCCAACAATTTTACTCACTTCTTGCCGGTGAAGATGTCGATGCCGACCATGTGTACCTTGGCGTGTCCATGTTTGCCGGTCTTGGAGGTGGACATTTCAACGATCTTGCATGGACGAGCCTTCAGCATAACGTGACCATTTTTGCGGAGCGCCGAGCACTGCATCGGGAAGGTGGCGGACGCACCGGAATCTCCGGCCTCGAAGTGGGTATCCTCCATTTCGGCCATTGTTGTTGTTGTTGTTCTTCTTTTCTTGGATCAACCAAACGAAAAAACGAAGTGCGCGTCGCGGGCGTTCGTCTGCTACTCGGTGACGACGGAATACGATTTATACCAACAGGACCTGTTGTATAAATGCGGATCTGATCGGCGGATTGTGACGATCTTAAAGATCTACGCTGCTCGCGATGGAATAAGAAAAGGATATTGCGATTAGTTTGTTTGAAGATTCGCCTCCACAGGGAAGCTGGGAATCTAAAACGGTTATCATAACTGTTGGTGCAAACTGGAAGTCGACGTACTCTGATGGAAGCTGGAAGAACTGATATTGGACAACGAAGCTTCAATGAACGACATGATGTGATCGGGCTGGCACCGACGACGTCGATGGAGGAATAAATTTCAGCCAATCGTTTGTCGCTATGTTTATAGAACGCACGGCGCTGGAATCAATTTTCCAGAACAAAGCGCCTCCGTCTGGCAAGAGGCTGAGCTGCAATCAACGGATGATGGGTTTTCGCAAATTTGCGCGGCAATTCGCAGTTGGTACTACAGATAGACGATTCATAACCACTCATTCAGAAAGAGTTCAATGAAGCAGCAAGATGCAAAATGCAAAATGACAAACTATAGCTAGGCATTAATTGAGTGGTGAGGTAGCCGGAATGGAAGGGGGATGATGTTTTGCAATCTACCACGGACGCGATTCGCGATGAGATGGGCGTCACGAGAATTCACGGTTTCATTTTATTTATAGTTTTTCGTTGCAGTAGGTTGAACGTTGCAAAATTATAGGTTAAAAACCACCTTGACCTCGAAAAGTGATGTTTTGGCGTGGAATGGTCGTTTGTTCCTATTATAGTTCACGCCTTAAAACAGATTGAGGATTTTTTCCGACTGCAACGCTACTTAGGAGGAATCAATTGTCGAAGTTCTTCAAATGTGGACAATATTTTGATTGCGATCCTAGCTGGTCTACCCATGGCATGATGGTACCAATCGGTATTGTCGTGACATAGCTCTAACCATACAACCGAGGGTTCAGGACATTTTGCTATTCTTCCGAAAGGAAATCGTTCACATGTTTGCATAGTTACGTAGGTAGTTTTCATAACAGACAGTATCACGATTTTGGGATATGTCAGTCACACATACATCCCTAACACAGTCATCAGAATCAAATTGGCTAATCAAGATTTTCCAATTAGGATGGTCTACTACCTTTCCAAAGCGACCAACAAAAAATAGCTACGCTAACCACTGCCCTGCCCTGTGCGGCAAAACAGTCCCATTAGCTAAAATCCCCACTGTGCATTTGCGCGACCTATAAACCACAGACAAACAGACATAACACATTGAATATTTCTCACTGTAAAATATCGTCGCTTAAACATTACCGCCATATATTCAGTACACTGTGGTGGGCAGTACGCTGAACAGATGGCGGTAGCGTGTAAACGTCAAACGCAAGGGAATTGACCATGTGTGCCACAGGTGGCGGTACTACCATTTAAGATACTTTTAAATTGACCGTTAAATGCTTGTTCGATGAACAACTTGCGAGTGTTTGTCTGTGTCTAAACCTTTATCAATCTTTGCCAATTTTTGGCCCAGGTTTATATTTTGGGGTTATGAAGCAAACTTTTTTCAAATACGTCATACGTCCTGAAAGAGGAAGTGCTGTCAAATTAGCCTACCGATCAGTTTTGTATGAAATTGATTACAAACGTAAACAGACTATCGGCCTGAATTCTGGACCACCAGTCAACCTAAGAACGAAAGACAAAACTCAACAATGCTTTTCACTTATTACCAAGGCCTACACGCTGCTGCCAACAGTTTCTTAGCCACATCACAAGCCGTGTGGTCCGATACACGTTTACAAAAAAAAAACTTGAGATTAGTTACACATACATACTACTTCGTTACGTATCAGCTGTGAGCAACACATGGCCAACGCTATCTTGCGGAGTTTATAAAAACAAAAGCCGGGTGCCCACTGATAACAAAACCGACGTTGACTTATTGATATGGAAACTACCTAGGCTAAAATGAAATAATAATAAAAAAAAAACAAAACAAAAAGAGGTTGGCGAAAAGAAATCAAAAATTTGACCTGTGATACTAAAGGAACGTGTGCTTGAAATTTTCCTTCAGCAGCAGCATACATTATCGATTTGGTGCTGTTTAACTTTCCTGCTACTGTAGCTTTTATTCGACACACAAAAGTGTCACATGAAGAAAGCTCTGTACAAAGGCAACTCTTTTTTTTTTGTAAATCTTTCTTCTTTCGTTGCTTTACATCAGTGGCGGGCGACATGGTCGCCTGAAGAATTCTAACCTCTAAAAATAGCACCAATCCGCATTCTGCTTCTGCATTACTTTGACTGTATAGGATAAGCAACATCCAGTCGAATCGAAAAATGCTGCTGACAAGCATAAAACGACCACAACAAAGAAGAGTGAAATGAATGGAAAAGATATTTTTTCTCCTATCGTAAAAGGCGCCGTTGCCGAAAGTGCGTTGAGGCAATTTTTATTTGCTCGAATAATGGTACTATTTCGGAGTTGTTCAAACAAATTGCATCCGATTGAATCATCATCACCACAGCAGCATCAGCACCGATTTGTGTGACATCATACCGATTAGCATACATACTATACACGAAGGCAAGACAGTAAGGAAAAGTCGATGCCATGTGGTCAGGCGGCAGCTCCGGGTATTGACCTGGAAATTGTGTGTTCCCCTTTTTCATTATTATAGCGAGTGACTGCGTGGTGCAGTACTTTGTATATTACCGGTGCAAGTCGGCAGACAGTCAAAGTGTGATTTAATTTTAGTCCAGGTTGTATATCAATTATCAATTTACAGGTTGGTACTAATTAGGGCTCGTTTGATCGGACTGTGACTGAACAGTGGTCAGTCCAAAAATAGTTTATAACTTTCCATCAGGGTTACTTCCACTCACTTGCTATAAAAAAATGTTTTTCAGAATTATAAAATCATGAGATGGTATAGTGATAATTAGAACTTGTAAGCTACAAAAAGAGGTCATGAAGTATGTGCTTGACACACAACATCTGTCAATATTGCTTGCAGTGCGCCACAATCAGCAATTTTACGGTTCGTGAGCGCTCACTCTGAGTGAACGCTCACGAATCATAAGATCGCTTATTGTGACGCTCTGAAAGCAAAATTGACAGGTTTTATGAGTCAAACACATACTTTACACCCTCTTCTCGATACTTACAAGAACAACATATCATTATATCATCTAATGATTGTATAGTTCCGAAAATTATGTTTTTATAGCAAGTGAGTGGAAGCAACCCTGCTTTCCATGAATGTTAGCACCCTGTCAAAAGTATATCGACAACAGTTTGCAGGATTGAATGATAAGCACAGTTAAACACGGCGAATGAGAACGACCCAAATTTGAGTTTAGTTCACTCATAATCGCCAACAGTGCAGGAACTAAGCGATGAGTAAATTTGCCTCATGTTTTCCTGTGGAAGTCTAGGAGTAGTACCGACTAAGTGAATCCAATCTTTACTTTTCTCATATTCGGGATTTTTTTCCTGGACAAACCTGGAAAACATGAGGTAAATTTACTCATCGCTGAGTTCCTGCACTTTATGTGATTAATGAGTAACTAAACTCAAATTTGGGTCGTTCTCATTCGCCGTGTAAGTTGAAGACGAAAGAAGAATATGCAGACGACAATGCAGTGTAGTCGGAGAAACACATGCTCCCGGCTCGGTACTATAAGTCGATATCCTACGACGGGTTGTAGAACAAGTGTTTCCCCTTTGCGGGATCGGGAGGATAGAGAATACGGAAGGAACGAAAGTTGTCTTCTAAAATCAGCTAAATTCTAAATTGATCACGATCCAGAGGTGATATGGGAAATGAAAAATGTGTGTTTCAAAGTTGCAACAAAATTCAATTGACGAAGTGGATTTCACGGACGATGAAAATAACTCAGATAGTAAGTTACTTCTACTCAGTTGTATGGAGAAATATCCAAAATCTACAGGAACACAGCGCTGAGTAGCTGAAGTTTTTAGAAATTTCTCATACCACTGAGTAGAAGTGACTCACTGTCTGAGTTATTCTCATTGGCAGTGTTCATCAGAGCACAACCGTTTTATCTGACTCATTTTTTGAGTTTTGTTTAGTCAAAGTCGTAAGGCCACTGATTGAATTTTCCTAAAAATCTGCTTGAATATGAAAAAAAAAATAGAAGACAATTTTAATCAGTCTATGAATATACTCGTAGCCTGAGTATTTGTTTTTCGATTTTCCTCATATTCACGCAGATATTTGAGGAAAATTGAACAAAAGTTTACTCAATCTACGTTTGACCTGCAGTTCTGCGAATTTTAGTAAACGGCTTCAAAATCCAGAAGTCCTCCAAACTTTTGATGAAGACAGCAATCTATTCGTTTTATTCCACCAGGGACCAACATCTATGGATTCAACTGACAACATTAGGGTATTATAATGAAACAAACTGTAGAAGGTATGTACAAACATGTGACCACTTTCCTTATGTTTAGGTCACACATTTCCAAAAATACGTCTATAGTTGCTGTGTGCACGGTTCGATGATGATCTGGAGAATAGATTGTCTTCAGACCATAAGGATTGAATGTGCAACTCATTAGGTAGGTTTGTTTCAAAATAATCAATTATCTAACTCTCTTGGAGTGGCAATCGAATCGGTTTGCTGTCTTCAACAAAAAGCAAATGATGCGTTTTAGAACTTGCAGTCCTACATTGGTTGAGCCCAACTGGATATGAACCATTTCCCAAAAATAAAATCGCTCAAAACCCGTAGTTTCTGAACCGCCTAAAATAATTTCCCTTCTCAGAGTTCTTTTCAGCAAAATAAACTTGAGATTCTCTATGGTATTGCAATTTTCTTTACAACAGGCCATAAATAATCTGCAGAATACTAAAAGTCCACCCGCATTAGATCCGGATCTGAGGCGTTGCGGCAAAGTGACAGCTAAATATTCTGTCAAACTGTCAAATTTGCGTCAACGCAACGCAAATGGATGTAATGTGCACGCTATTTCAAAACTACCCAAACTTGGGTAGAATCCACCCGGATCGGTCAAAACTGAACCTACCCAAAAATGGGTAAACTATGTTCGGAGTGACAAGTTGACAAATGGACAACATCGACGTGAATACGATCGACTTTTTTTTCTTGAAATTCTTCTCAGCATTTTTTTTTAATACTCATTGAATTTGAACCTTCTCCTCACGATTGTCATGGAATTTTTCTAAGAACTCAGGCATAAAATTTGATAACGGCACAAAAGCATTTGTAAACAAACTTTCTAAGGCCCTTTACACGCAAACCGAAGTACGCCCACGCAAACCAATATTTCGGAAAGGTTATAGTGGCCCCTCTATATGATGATGTTGTTTGTTTGCGTGGGCGTAGTTTGGTTTGCGTGTAAAGGGCCTTAGAAAGTTTGTTTACAAATGCTTTTGTGCCGTTATCAAATGTTATGCCTGAACTCTCCTTAAACTGTACCTGTAACTCTAGCTCTTCTCAAAATTACCTCGGAATTCTTCCCACACCTGCATTGAGGTTCTAGTAAAAACTCACTTGGAATTCTTCCTGGAGTACTTTGGAATTACCGTGGACCCCCGTTAATCTTAACACTTCCTTTTTAATTTGAACTTCTAGTAACCCTACGACCATCAGAAAAGCGAGTTTCTGGTAGCCTTATTTGCTGATTTGTTTTGATTCTGCGTTCCATTTCGGTTTACTCTATTCCATGCTCTAGATGACTATTGAGCCATTTTTAGTTTGCATGGCGTGCAGATTAGTTAGTTAGTTAACGAGGATGAGCTTTTATTCCCGAAAAATCGGTGATTGAAGGCATTGCTAACAAATCAGTCCGGAAATGTTTCAGACAAAGGCAAAGGAAAGGCATACTTTTTGTCCTTTTAAACATGTGGACCTGCTTATGTACTGCCAGAACACCATGTAGCAAAATCTGAACTCACCTTGGGTACATCATCTGTCTGTGTGTTGCAAAAATTTAAACAAAAGATCCGTATAGAATATCAACCATCGAAAGTAGGCCCTTTTTACATGCAACCTTTGCAATTCTGCGAGTCGTGTGAGGTGACTCTCCGTGCCAATCGTTGGTTGAAACAGCTCGTACTATTTGGTGCAAGTAAGTTCTAACAGGAGGTGCCTCCCTTAACTCAGTCGCTAAAGGCGCTGTTATAAAGCAAGACTGCTGGAGGCTACTGGGTTCAATTCCCGGTCCGGTCTAGGAATTTTTCGGGTTTGAAAATTTCTCGACTTCCCTGGGAGAGTATGATTGTACTTGCCATACTAATACAAAAATGGTACAGGCTTTGAAAGCTCTTAATTAACAACTGTGGAAGTGATCAAAGAACACTAATAGCGAATTCGTTTATTATTCAGTTCCAACCTGGATCGGGTATCAAGATTGGGTCTGCTTGTTTTCTTCCAAACGTCAGTTTGATCATTTGTTTTTAAAACCTACCTCAGGTTGAGGCTCGCTCTCTGATAAAAAAAAAAACGAATTCTCGCTATAAAGTGGACCCTACACGATTGCTTTTATTGACAATAATCGTATTGTCAATACATTCTATATTGACGTCAATATATCGAGATTGACAATATTTCTGAATTCACATCATCAATATTATTGTCAATAATTCCCCTTCGCGTCAATATATTGATGCGTGTGGGGTTTGCTTAAGTTGAGGGAAGGCGTAAAGTCCCAGTAGGGACACAATAGAGTCAAAGAAGAAGAAGTTATAGCAGGTCGAACTGGGTCGAGATTTTGACGTATGACTATGGAGTTCGTAGTCGCTCGAGCTAAGTTTGACAGAAAAACCCGTGTCTGGGCAACTTCAACAAAGTGCGAGCTGCGTCATCATACACAACTGTTATTGCCACCTCACTAGTGACAGAGAGCAACACGACTCGCAGAATAGGTGAATGAATTGAAATTTTTTGCACAAATTGTGTGGATAAGATAAGATGAAAAAGACAATTTTTGATGTATTACATTTTTCAGGCATTCCATGAGCATTTGATATCTTATTGGTTTTAGGGCCCATGCATTAATTATGTCACGCTAAATCGAGCAAAAAATTACCCTATCACCCCCCCCCCCCTATCGTAACGTTTTTCCTATACCTAATGCATTGCTTGTCACAAAATCTTAATCCCCCCTCCCCGCTTAGAGCGTGACATAATATATGCATCAAGCCTTACTGCTACGAACAAAATGCGACTCGTGAACTACTGGTACTCATTGAAGTTGAAGCTAATACGTTCCGACTGTAGCTGATATCACGTAATATAGGCTGTCTTGCAATAAGCACCTTCGGGTACGAACCTTTGATATTCAAAACTGTAAGAACAACGATAAAAGCTTGATGAATGCTACCATGGAACGGTTTTTGTATGCGCATTTGGCCTCGCAGCTTTACTCAGCATATAAATTGCGATACATCGCTTATAAGCCTACAACAACAGTAGTAATTATTGTCCTTAGCGTGGACGTTTCACACTCTCAGTTTCCTTATATGTGTTGAGATATTGTGAAAGTCAAAGGTCTTGTTTTTTTAAATATTTGGATCAACTTTACATCATCGTACGCTTTCTACTGTTTAGGCTGTTTTGCTGAGTTAAATTTAACTCGTGGTTAAAAGTGACATTTCGAAAGTTATTCTGTATGTTTGAAAATCCCTGTGCTGTCGATTGACCGGTTTTCAAGAAGAACTCAATCACGGTTGTCAAAATTTAACTTCTTGTCTGTCAGAAATAACCACGCTCGGATAGCAGGGTTAATCGATAACTTTCCATCTGTCCAATTTTAACCAAATGTTAAAAAAAAAATCCACCAAATGGTTCAGAGCCTTGATGGGTTGGTCACAATTTTAGATCGGACGTTTCTGTTATGAAACGCTGCTCTTCCGTGTTCATACGCTGTAAAACAATTTAAAAATGTTTCTACAAAATTTGAAAGAAAATTATATAACTAAATTATAGCAAATTCTGTAGTTACAAATCACCAATGCGGTGTTCTTGCTTGCACGATTTTTCCAGTAAGGCGAACGTTGAATCATCCGCTTCTCAGCTGGTTGAAATCCATAATGCACCCACTGGCATGGAACGTTGAACTCAACATCGTCGTACTATTTTCTGCGAGTCTGCGAAGGCAATGTCCACAATACCTAACACAACTGCTTCCTGGAACACCTGTGCTGAGGTCACGATTCCTCTACGCTGAACGGAGAAAGAAACACGTGCTGGCTTTCTCAGTTCACGAAAATCCAATCGAGGTCGACTGCAGCAGCGACAACCACTTGAGCGAAAAAAAAAAATGTGTTTCCACCCATTCAGTTTTCGCTGTTCGCTTCAGCAATAGGCAATCCATCGGAAATCCTGCGGGGTACTTGGATCGTTTCCGATCCGATGCACTGCAAGCTAGAATTTGTCCAGCCGTCTGAATCGAAACAAATCTGCAATCGACTCTAAAAATAGCTCACAGCTTCCATCAAACGGAAAACAAACCCACGTCGTCGTCGATTCATGGTTCCTTCTGCATCTTCACACCTATTGCTGGCAACACTGGTTCCAACATGTAGAAGCAAATAGCAGCAATAGCAACCGCAGTGGAAATAGGTGGCATATTCTGCCAATTTCTTGTTTCCTTTTCCACACCTTCTTCCCCTTCGTCATCCTGTGTGAGTACTAGTGCGAAGAGGTGGCACTCAACGCCTCTAGTCTCGGCAACAATTTACCCGTTTCTTTCGTGTCATCACGTACAAGTTCGCGATCAGGTAAACACAAATTCCTCCGGGTGGATTGTGGCCAACAGCCCACGCGGTCCTCTTTTGAACACAAATTTCGACACTCGCCGCGACCAGTCGCGGCAGTATGAGTATGTGTCAGAAATTGAAGAATCATGATTTTTCATCCCAATGGACGCACCCGCGCCTATCTTTCGGGCAGGAAACAGAAGCCACGTCGACGGTGTCCGTCCGCGTTTCGGAAGGGAACCTCTTCACAATTAGCGCTGGAAACGTGTTTTTCTCGTCTCCGCTTCGGAAGCGGCTTCTTTTTCTTCCCTTGTCTGCTCCTTCTTCGTATTTTTCTGCCCGCTAACTTTAAAGTTTTTGTTTCAGTCCTTTAGCACACATAGGCAGGAAAAACGCTTTGTAAATACATGTAAATATGAACGTCTCACAGTCGTACCCAGAAATGACTCCGTTCCGAGTAACTTGGCTCGATTTCAACAGAAAAACATCAAAATCTGTACTTTCTTCACTGTCAACACATTAAAAACTAATTGCCAACCGGACAAGAAGAGTCACCTCCAGTGAGGGTCAGAAATTTTCGCACACAGCACAGCAACAGCAGCAATGGTACTCCTAGAGTAGGCTGATGGCACTTTTTTTTCTCCTGACCTGTTCTCCGTCGCCTATGCGTCCCTCACCTACCGAACGTTCACACCAATCCTCATCCAAAATCGAAAGCCGTCACCGCACTGAATGAAAGCCGAAATTTTCGGATTTTTCACAAAATAACACCGGCTTTTGAGCAACTTCCAGTATTCCGGAGGAGATTTGCGCCGGTCGCTTCCAATCGCACCAACAATTACCGTTTTCCAGCAGAATTTACAGCACTTTTCCACTTCACTAGCGGCAGAAAAACCCAACTCACATGTGGAGATCAAAATGGTCACGGACAAAAGAAGATCGCAACTATGGCGTTAGGTTGCGGAAATACATCTCGGGCGAGGTGTGACAGAGAGGCAGCTATAGGGCTGTGAAGATAACATGAGACAGAGTGAACCGAAGCGATGACAGCCGCGCGCACACCCGGCTGTCAAAGTGTGCGTTTGAACGTTCCGACGTGTCAGGGCGGTTTCCGGTACGGATAGGGTTGGCAGCAGGATTCGTAAGTTGTGCTAGTACTACTTGTGCGAAAACTAGTTGCTTATCTCGATGTTTAAAATCAGTGCTAACATTTGAAAACGGCACAAAAGCCATTTGTAAACAAATGGTTTGTGGGCCCTTTACTCACTACTTGAAGTACACCCACGCGACACAACAGCAACATCGGGTAGGGGAAATTTTCCCCTTCCTGACGATGCTGTTGGTTTGCGTGGGCGTTCTTCGGGTAGCGAGTAAAGGGCCCACAAACCATTTGTTTACAAATGGCTTTTGCGCCGTTTTCAAATGTTAGCACTGAAATATTATAATATCGACAGTGAGCATGCATAAGGGCCTATACGCGATGATCGATTCTCTTCGTCGATTTTCTCTTTTGTTAATAACTTGCTAGATTTAACGTTTCTCGGTGCGTTTGCTGTTGCTTTTGATAGCCAATGCAACCTGTTACTACCATAGAGGTAACTCTAAGACAAGTAGGTCCCGAAGAAACGTGCTCAACTTTTTGGCTCAGCTCTGGTACTATCTTCGGTCCCAAGCTAGTCGAATCACCCCTCGAAACATAGGAAAATCCAATAACCCCTCATCTTATCTGTCAAACTTTCATAGCAAATCAAAACAAACATTGTGTAGTACTAGAATGGGGTACGTTAATCGATTTGCTTGGGACCAATAGGCTAGTCAAGTAGTGAGCCAATTTAAAATCGTTAGTTTCGTATTGATTGTTGTTACTACTCTGCATTGAACAAATTCTAGAAAATTGTTTCGCTTAGTTGTAGCAATGCAAAAAGAAAATCGATGAAGAGAATCGATCATCGCGTATTCGCCCTTATGCATGCTCACTGTCGATATAACCATAGAGGTAACTCTAATGCTACACAGCAAAAAAAGTTGTTGAATATTACATCGAAACTGCTGCAACCAGGTCAATCCATCGGTTGTGTAATATCACATTGTACGATCTACATCGATTTTGCGAACAAAATTACATCCATTGATTTAATATTGTATCTGCTCTTTGCTATTACATCATTATTTCATACATCAGCTTGAATTACGTTGATCGATATTACATTTTTTGTTGCTGTGTACGTTCTCACTACGCTCTATATATCACGTTATATACCGAGATGATATTCTATATCAAGAAGGGTGTTCATACTACACAAACGTGATATAGCTTGACAGATTGACGTTTCTGTTGAACAACTGTCAACGACGAAAACGTATTTGTGTTTCCTGGTGCGTGGTGGTGTGAATTATTAAAATGGCTTTCGAACAGATAATCAATCAAGTCATTTTCTTCGATTGCCATGCAATACGTCGTATGAATAAAAGCATTTATTTTACTTTTCCCGTAACAAAAGTACGGGAAAGTAAAGTAAACTATTTTTATTCATACCGAGATTCATACGGCCCAATACCATGGTACCAAGCAAATCGATTAACGTACCCTATTCCAGTTGAAGTTCTAGTACTACACTATGTTTGTTTTGATTCGCTATGAAAGTTTGACAGATAAAATGAGCGGTTCGTGGATTTTCCTATGTTTCGAGGGGTGCATCGAACCAGAGCTGAGCCAAAAAGTTGAGAACGTTTCTTCGGGACCTTCTGATCTTAGAGTTACCTCTATGGTAAATAGCTGGGTACTGCGGACTCACTCAATGTGCTTGTCACTTGAGAGCCAGTCAGAACTGTCAAACGGGAGCCAAACATTCAGAAGCAACAAACTCAGTTACTGTTCTTACCTCTCGTCAAGCATTGCAATCTCATAAAAATGATTCATACTTTTTCATAACACATTCTTAATTGTAAGCTCCAAGACAAACAGCAACAGGCTCAATGATGAAAGTATAAAAACCAGCATAGTTTTTATGACTCAGCTGAGTTTTCAATTTCAGTAAAACATACTTTGGCGAAACATGTTTGTAAACAAACTTTGATACAGTCATGGGGGCTCGAGCACTCCTGGCTCAGAGCTTTTGGCGGGAATCAACTCAGAAAGAACAAAACAATTTTAAACTTGAACAAATTTTCAAGCAGTTTTCCATTGGCTTGCAAAATGAAATCGATTTACTCCGCAGTACTCAGGTAAATAGTACCATAGAGGTAACTTTAAGACTCGCTCTAAGATCAGAAGGTCCCGAAGAAACGTGCTCAACTTTTTGGCTCAGCTCTGGGACTCTGGTACTGGATGCAGCCCTCGAAAAATAGGAAAAATCTACGAACCCCTCATTTTATCTGTCAAACACTCTGTCAATAAAAACAAACAAAGTGTAGTACTAGAATTGCGTCTAGAATGGGAGATATTAATCGATGTACTTGGGACCAATGGGCTAGTCAATTAGTGAGCCAATTTAAAATCGTTATAAAAATGAGGGGTTCGTGGATTTTCCTATGTTTGGAGGGGTGCATCGATTAGTAATCGTAATATCGATTAGTAATTTAATAGTGAGATTTCGTATGGTGAACGTTCTTAACCACCCATTGGTAGTATGGTTGGGTCTTCGAAAACCTTAATCAAATATGGTCGAAATCTCGGCCAAATCTTTATCTATAGGTATGGTTCGATTAAAGTTGACAGAATCATTATCATTATGGTTTTCAGGGGAAGATAAACCATTTTCAATGTTGTAATCGTATGGTTGTGATTTATGCGCTTAACGCTTAACACCGTTAAATCTACCATGATTTCAGTATAGTTGACTATAAAAATTAACAAACTACCATTTTGTCAAAACTACTATGCTTATTCAAACGGCATAGTAGTTTTGAAAGAAAAAAAAATAGTTAAAGTAAAAGAATTTCGTTGCTGCCAAAATATATATAGGAGTATTTATTTAATTTAAACCATCAATATAGTATTTTTGCCAATGAATTTGTTTCTGTTGCCGTGTTCGAATCAGTAATTTAGGGCGCAAACCTTGCTTTAAAACGCATTCACCGGACAAGGGCTAACCTCGACTTCCACTTTTGCGTTTTCAATCATTTTTGACAGTTTCTCTGACAGTTCGTGACTTTGTTGTAAACAACGGTGAAAATCATTCGGCTGCCGCAGTTTCACGGGTTTCCCAAGCGCTTTTGCATTTAGTCGCAGAATAATTTCACCAAAAAAACCGTATTAAAAGTCATGTTTATTCCATAGTTATTTGCTCAATCGATTGCAATATGTTGACCTCTAAGATAAGTAAAGTGGGAAAGGTGGTAATTTGCGGTGCCAAGGGCGTCGGAAAAACCACCATTCTGGAGCAACTGATCTACGGTAATGTTACCATTGAATCGGTAAGTACTGCGCTCGCTGTATGCTATGAGTAATGCGCACTGTCTAGCGGAAACTGGTGGAATAACTGGACTTTCTAATTAATGCAATTTGTGCGTTTGCCTGCGAGGGCTTGCTAATAATTATTATTTACCGCTACGGCGAAAGAAGATGAGCGAAGGTTGATCGATGATGGGATTGCTTGGTTTTAGGAAATTCACAGCACAATTGAGGACACCTATGTAGCAAGTGTGGACACCGGAAAGGGTAGTCGGGATACGCTTCGCATTTACGACACTGCCGGGCTGCAGGGAAGCGTTCAGCTACCGAGGCACTACTTAGCCTATCCTGATGCGTTCGTTCTGGTATACGACCCAAGTGACCCGTCCAGCCTGGATATGCTGGGAGGGATCAAAAGCGATATCGATAAGTTTAAGGATAAAAAAGAGGTGAGGCAGGGTTTTCTGATCGTTCGGTCACGAGTTTATGATTCATACTTTTTAATTGTGTCATTGTAGATTTTCATCATTGTGATAGCGAACATGCGCTCGCGACAGAACCGTTCAGCCAGTTCGTCTCCGATCAATTCCTCACAGCAGCAACAGCAGCAGCTGAATAACGACGCAATCGAATCGAATCTTACCCGGGCTAACAATTGGTGCGCCCGGGAGAGAATCAAACACTACACCGTCAATGCTATGGAACGAGCATCGCTGTACGAACCGTTTGTCCAGCTCGCCAGTCGACTGTATCCTCCTCAGACGAAGAGTAGCTTTCCGCAGCTTCGCCAGCTGACGCAGAAGACCTCCAAAGTGGACAACAGTTAATCGTTGAAGGGTGTGTAACATTTAGGCATTGTAAGAGGGAACCAAAAATTTGTTTGAATTAAGGTCAGCTTTGTGAGTTTAGCGCTATCGCGAATCGAAGTAAGAATCGGAATGCTCCAAGTTGCATTCCTAAAGTGATCTATCGCTGCAATTATGTCTATAAAGTATTATTTAGTTTCTTTCCTTTTCCGTTATTCGGGAAACCTGTTAGACTGCACTTTATTGTTTAGGAGGATCAGCAGGAATATCCAAAATGCACCTTTACTTGTTTTGAGCGCTACGGTGTTACCTGACTTATAACGAATATACGTGCTATCCGTGGGAACCATGTCTAATTTAACATAACGAGTTCGTGTTTTTTTGGATAATACGAATATTCGTTATAAGTCAGGTAACACATGTATATCTTTTATTATGTGCTAGTGGCAATGTGCACCCAGTTTTAAAGCAATCTGCTTCCTATTAGTCAGCTATCGAAACGTGTATCTCCTTATCGTACTTATTAGGATTAGGGATTAGTATAATAAGTTAAAAAACCTCGTAGTTAAAGTTACATAGCATCCAAAAATCCAATGCGATCGAAATACATTTATTTTACTTCAAATTTAAATTATTTGGTCCTTATATGAACTGTTGGGCAAGAAAGTCCTGTATCCTTACAATTAATCATGGTAAAACTGTGTTTATCCTTAAGTATCCTTTTTATTTTTTGGTGCTGTTGACTCGAAGAAACCCGTTTGCATTGCTCCCTAAGTTAGGTGAAATGTTGATAGGATGTCTACCACTTAAGTAGATATTTCAGCTTTCGCAGCAGAATCGTTGTTCCGAATACTTTGTCCCAAATGTCACTGCTGATGCCAAAACCTGGAAATAGAGAAAAATAATATAAACATTAGGCGGATTGAACAAAGATTTTAATTGGAATTTCAGCGCTTAGGGTTCCATGCGAAGTATTCTTACAGGTAAACAACTAGATTTATGCTACTGATTTGATGGTAGTTTTCATGGTGTTAGAGGAATTGCATATCATTAGGGAAAATGTGTCAAACTGCGGCCAGATTGTTGTTAGGGATGTCCGATTACTTCTCGATTAATCGATCCCGGTTTGAAGGCGAGACTTCGGGCGAGACACAGATAATGAAACTAACACAGAGAATGAGTCACTTTTACTCAGTTGTGAGTCACTTTTACTCATTCGTATGGAGATAGGGGTTTTGATCTAATTTCTATCCTGCTAAGCACTCAAAAATAAAAGATTTAAATTTAATAATTTTTCCAAATAACCGCAGAATAAACTGTGTTTTGCATAAAAATTCCATCGTTTTTATACTAAGATTTAATACATGGACTGTAAACTACCAAAACATTACTTTTCCCTATAAGTTCCAGAAAGATATTAAAGATAAATGGAAGGTGGAACAAGGATTTTTAGGCATATTTTCCCGAGTATTTCCACAGTAAATCGTCAAATAAGAAACCATTTTCAGTTGTAAGTAACTAAGAAATGCAATCAAAATCAAATTACAAAAATATTATTCCGTTTTGTAGGAATGCATTTGGTTAAGCTCTATCTATCTCAGCAGGTCTTCCCGATGATTTCCCGTATGAGCGGGAACCCAAAAACTACGTTGGTATAAGTGAGCCTCAGGAAGGATCGAAATGTTGATGTTTGTCACTCGTTTAGAATTCTGCGTCGGATAGAAAGTGCTTTCAGGGACGATGACGGAGAAGCGGTTCAACTGTTCGACTTTACGTGTTGGACACAGGCGTGTAAGACGAAGAATCCCTTCGCTAGTTGCTTCATACTAATTGAAAAGGATACAAATACGATGTGCAACGTACCACCGTTCTGCTCAGCTGAAACTCCTGTAAGGTCATTCGAACCGATATGAACCCTAATAAAAATGTTATGGTTAATTTGCTTAACGACGTGTTCTGGGTATCATCCAAACCATTTGTGTAATAGTTCAATCATTTGGGTTATCGTTCGTTTATGGTAATTTTTTATTAGGGAAGTTAACATCCGTTTAAGGCTGCTTCTCTAACGAGTGAAAACTCAGTGAAGTGGCAATATTGAAGGAAAAAACCCTTCTTATCTCCTGGATGGTGGCCCAGAAATTTGTTGACTCAGCTGGTGATGGTAGCGGTATTAAAATCAAATGTATTGTATATATGTATGAATAAAGAATATAAATAGCTTTCGATGCTTGTATATTTTGTTTTCCAATTCACTCTAAATGATATAAAAAGCTTAATGACGACTAAAAATAAACAAACCAAGTTTAAACTATAGTATTGTATACAAGCAGAAAATGCATTACGATGTATAATCCATTTTTATACTAAGTGTGTATTCTCTCTCTTTAAACCAAGCTATGCGTCGGTCAGGAGAGTTGCGATTTAGCGTAACTTTTAATCTATTTAGATTTGAAAATCTTTTGAGTGAGCACATCCCGCGCTTTACCTCTCTTTTCTGAGCGAATTTAAACAAAAAATTGAATATTTCTGTTAAAGATGACTTCTAAATTTATTCACCTTTCCATATACGTACCGTTGGATTTGATAAAGGGTCACACATTGTTGAGATATTGTGTAAAATCTAATACTGCTTCTTGATTCTAAATTCGCTCTACGAGTTTCAATTTCGTCCAAACGTATTGAAACGCCATAAGATTTTCTTCTTTCTACGGATAAACGTAGAAAAAGGGGATTCGCTAGCAGTGCTTCTTTTTGTTTTGAGAACAATGAGCGTAAATATTCATACAATGCGCTCTAACAGGATTTATGTATAGTCGCTATGTGCATAGTCTGGCGGATAGAATCTCGGGAACCAATTGAGCTGTCAAATAGCGGAACCAATCGAGCAAATCACGACCAACAGCAGAAAAGAGCACATCAGCTATTGCGAACAAAACTTTGGAAACCCTTTTCTCGTGACTCAAGGCTCGCCTACGCAAACTAACACCATCTTTGGGTTGGAGTAAATTTCCCCTATCCGATGATGCTGGTAATTTGTCTTCGATTGGCGAGGAAAGAATAATCAACGTTTTGTTTATAAAAGCTGATAGTACCTTTTCAATTCAGACATAACATCTGATAACGGCACAAAAGCATTTGTAAACAAACATTCTAAGACCCTTTACACGTGAACCAAAGTACGCCCAAGCAAACCAAAACCACTTTCGGAAAGGTGATAGCTGCCCCTATCCGATGTTGTCGTTGGTTTGCGTGGGCGAACGCCCACTTTCGGAAAGGTGATAGCTGCCCCTATCCGATGTTGTCGTTGGTTTGCGTGGGCGAACTTTGGTTCGCGTGTAAAGGGCCTTAGAAAGTTTGTTTACAAATGCTTTTGTGCCGTTATCAAATGTTATGCCTGAATTGTTGGTCTACAATATATACCATTGGTTCCACTTTTTGATAGATCAAAATTCTATCCGCCAGACTATAAATATAGCGACTATAGATTAATGTTGTAGCGAAGATTGAGGATGGAACCTTTGCTACGGAGCATTTACCATTTGAGCGACAGACGACGCGATTGTGCCTGTCTCATGCCGGTCGTTTGAGAAAATGGAAGATTGATATGTTGTCTTCGATAAGATCCTAAGTAACATTGATCGATTGATGAAGATCGACTTTCTCTTTCGTTAATAACTTGAGTACTGAACCGTTTCTTGTCGTGTGTGTCGTATAAAATGCTAGATAATAGCTTGTTCTATCGATCTGTGTGCTGATGCTGAAATTAGCTGGGAATGTATCAACATGGCCGTAAGGATGCAAAGAGAAAGTCAACGAAGCGAATCTGCCAAATCCGGGACTAAAAAAAAATGTCAGTCGTGTCAGAGCAAACTCTCTAAGAAACGGCGAAATTATCGTATAAAACCGGCCGAAATTTATTAAGGTAAGTAGAAATTGCATGCGAAGACGGCTTACAGTCATCTTCAGCACCAGTTAAATAAATCTGGAGCAGGTAACTTAATTTTTTTTTATCAAAACAAAAAGACAGTGTTCACTCGGCTGTCGACAAAAGCAGGCCACTCTCGATGTGTGCCACGCGGTCGTCTGTTTTCTCGGCAGCAACCATTTTGTGGTCCTCCTCATTGTTCTTCATTAGCAGTTCTTTCGGTCGATGGGTCGTCGACTTTGGAAAGCAACCGTTTCGTGATAAGTGTGTGAGTGTTGACCACGTTTTGCGTCCATTGCTGCAATAAAAGCGCTTTGCCCCACGATGGCGTAACTGCCATCCAATGAAACCACTGGAAGCGGCTCCAGTTCTGATGGAGGAGGCTTTTTGGATAGCGGAAGATAACGTATTTATTGTGCTGTATCTTTTGACTATAGTTTTAAGGTGTATTGTATAGTGCCCAAGAATCCTCGGCTCTGTAAAGTTAATTCGGTTGAGCCTTATCAAATAAATTGATAAACAAAAAAAAGATAAAAAGACAAACCTCCCGGCAGAAAATATCACAGAGTGGTTTTGACTCACTCTGCACAAGAACGTCTGTTAGTGAGAATTTTCGGTTTCGGATGCAGCCGAAGGAACTCGATCTTCAGAGCGTGTCCAGTTTGTGAACAGCTTAAAGCTGGAAATATATTTGCATTAGCTTTAAGGTTATAAAAGTAAAGAAACAAGCTTACAATTCGTGTTTCCTTCTTTTTCCTGCACCTCTGATTCCCTAACCTCAATTTCCCTAGAGTTACAAACTCACTGCTAGAAATTTAGGTATAATTAGTTTGTTTGTTTGTAATTCAATTCTGTCCTGTACATTACCGTTTAGTTTTCAAAGTTTGAAGTTTTAGAGCAATAGAAACTGAAATAATAATGATAATGCTGTAAATTAAGCTTTTGTCTTCCTAGCGTGTTTACACTGTGTCAAATTACGATCTTTTTATTTCTTTTTCTTTTATTAATACTCTAGTCCGTCCGTTTTCTTGTACCGCTAACTGCCAAGGTTAATTTAAATAACGAGGTGCGTTCGAGGTACCCAGTGGGCTTAACAACGTCCTTTACTCAAAAGTGAGTAAAAGTGCGCCTACTCACTTTTGAGTAGCCTGAAATGAGCATTAGACTGATGCAAAATTTGAAATTTTCGCTCCACAGTGCTCAAACGGATTAAAATTGGGCCCTGTTTAGCCTCCCAAAATTTGAATTCATTTAGTGAGAAACTGACTTGGCATAAACCATTTGACGTTTATATGGGAATTACTATGGAGAAACCATAATTTCGATTCATATCTATCTCAAAACTCACCAGTTTACTCTACTTTAGAAAATCATAACTGAGCTTGTTGAAAAATTTTTCAGCTACAACTTTGTTGAAGACCAGTTTTCGTTCAAATGTAAGGAACAAATGTTATTAATGATTCAAGTCACTGATGTCTTATGATTATGCTCAATCATCTGTTCAGCAGGCAACATTGGTGTTTATGGCACGTAGAATAGAGGACAAAAACCATGGCTACTATATCACATTGCAGAATACAGTGTTGCCCACAATACAGTTTTCTTAATATTGCCATAAGATTATCAATCTCTTAAACAATTAATAACTATTTAATTTGACGTTTGGCTGAAAAACGATTTTCTGCAAAGTTGTAGCTGATAAAAATTCATAAGAATAGCAATAGAATTTGTTAACAGTACATTATTTAAAAAGGCTAAAAGACAATGAACAAACAGTTTTGTTTTCCCATAATAATTTCCATATAAACTTCAAATGGTTTGTGCCAAGTCAGTTTCTTATCAAATGGGTTTAAACTTTCGGAGGCTAATCAGGACCCGATTTGAAACCGTTTGAACACTGTGGAGCGAAAATTTCAAATTTTGCATCAGTCTAATGAGCATGTTTGACTAAATTTTGAGTTGTTGCGAGTAACCGTGTATGTTAGGGAACATGCATAAATGACGTAGCATTTGAGGAGGGAGGTTGGGGTTTCAAAATGTGTGACCGGCCATGTATTGGATATAGCTAAATACGCTATGAGGGGGGGGGGAGGAGGGGTCTGATCAAAAATATGCTACGTCATTTATGGATGCTCTTCACTGAAATCGAATATTAATCAGAGATTCATTTAGTCATTTGACTAATGACTAATCGTATGAAGAAATTTCTAAAAGCGTAGGTTACTCAGGTGCTGAGTTACCTACGCTTTTAGAAATTTCTCCATACGAATGAGTAAAAGTGACTCACTATCTGAGTTAGTTTCGTTTTGGAGCTAATACATAGTTTTGGAGTCCTTTTTGATTGGGTCGTATGTAACATTTGTGTCAATTAGAGGAACGAGGTATTTTTTTATGGTGAGCAGTGTGAAGTTTTTTTTAATAAATCCAAGTTCCCATAACATCAATGAAGTTTTCCAAATTTCAATAATGTTCCCAGTTCTACATAGTTTTTTCAAATTTTTAAAAATCTAATGTAGTTAAAGGAAAAACCCTGAAAGTCAACGAAATTTCCTAAATTTTTGCGAAATTGGCTAAATTTATCTAAATTCCGCTTATTTTCAACAATTGAACAAAGTTATCTGAACTTATACAAAACTAGCTGAAGTTCTACAAAATTCTCTTAAGTTCTATGAAGTTCACTGAGCTTCTACAAACATTTTTGAGCATTTACAAAGTAAGCTGAATTTCTATAAAATTTGTTGCAACTCTAGAATTTTTTTCTGACCTTCTACACACACAGTTCGAAAAAGTAGTGTAAATTTCTGTTCAATATAATGCACATAAATGGAGCGTCACATATCATATACGTTTACATTATATATCATGTAAAGTTCTGACACATTTCATGCAAAGTAGCAAATATTGTATGCAAAAGCCCATCTTTGTAAACAACATTGTTTACAAGTTGCTCGGTTGCGTGAGATGAAATACAAGTTTACGTGAATGAATGCTTACATCACAATTAAAATTCAGATTTTTTATCTGTGCAGTTCATTTAATGTCTACGTAGCTTTCGGAAGTTTTACGAAGTTTCTTGACGATCCTTGAAATTCTACAACGTTTCTTTTATTTTCAAGAAGTTCTCCGAGCTTCTACGAAGTTCTCAAAAATAAAATGATGTTCTCTTAACTTGTATAAACTGCTCTTGACTTCTAAGAAGGTCCCTGAACTTCTGGGAAGACTCTGTTTTATAAATCTAAAATATTGAAAACCGAAAATTTTAAAAATAGCGGTGACGTCTCCTCGTTATCGTTGAAGATTTTTTTTTTAAATGCACCTAGCATCTTTGGGCTGAATAACTTCCGCTTCATGTCAGAGTAAACAGGTATAATATTGAGAATTTGATGTGATATATCTTTCTCTGTAAGACTACCCTGGAATGTGATGTAGGCATCGTAAAAGTGAAATAGCTAGGAAGAGGGTTGTAAAACTGCGAGTTTGCCGTCCAAACAAAAATCCTGAGTACGGCTCTGACTACGACTGCCAACTTTGATAATAAATACTCTCAGTGTTGGCAAAATCAGAAATCAATTGATATTTTTCCGCTCTCATGCGCTCGCAATATCACGCGTGATATTGGACCAAAATATCATCCTTGATATTGATTTTACAAGCTCCGAGACTAGCTTGCGAGACTATTCACAACGTGCAAAAATCAAGCTGAGAGTTGACTCGACATAAAAATGATTCCATTGCACATCGTTTTCTTAGAAAGAGAAAGCATAGTTTGCTATCTCTTTTTAATCTTCACCGATGGCAGACGCGAAGGAACTGCTGCAAGCCGTTTCGGTTGCATTCGGGGCTAAAGCAAAAATCATTAAACTCAATCTCACCACAGTTTGGTGAGTTTTGTTAGCTTGATATTCCGAGCTGCGATATCACAGCTTGCAAAATCAACTGCGGTTGTTTGCTTGTTGATTTTTGTTTACGAAAATCAAGCGTGATCTTGGGCATTGGTGAGACTTGATTTTTTGATATTTTCCCAACACTGAATACTCTGTTACTAGGGGAGGGGTGTCCTCTACAAACTCCTCACTCCGTGACTAGAGAGGATCCCTCAATTCCATTTCAAAATTGGTTATTAGGGGGACCCCCTTCCGGAGTAAATTAAGAGTTGATCTACGGTTTTTTTTTTTTTTCCTTTGATTTGTTTTCCGTCGATCTTGTTTTCCGTGCTGAGCACCAATGCTACCGACGCCAGAGAGGCAGCTCCCACACCTGGACCCTACCTACCTATCGACCCATCAACTCATGAACCGGGGACCAACGGCTTTACTTCCCTTCCGAAGGAAGGCGTGATCAGAGATGTTATGCCTCAGAACATCCCGGCGGCGCCGACTGGGATTGAACCCAGGCCTGCTGGGGTGAGAGGTAATCACGCTTACCACTACACCACCGGCGCCGCTGTTGATCTACGGTTATAAATCTCATTAATAAACACAACCAACCAACCAACCAATTAACCACATCATTCGAGCAGTTTGAAATGACGTATTCTATCGCTCGAACTTAACCAGTTGACATTTTTGCTCCACAGTGCTCAAACGGTTTCAAAACAGGTCCTGATTAGCCTCCCAAAATTTGAACTCATTTGGTAAGAAACTGACTTGGCACAAACCATTTGAAGTTTTTATGAAAATTACCGGAAATTACTAGCAAAGTTTTTGTCCATTGTCTTCTAGCCTGTTCCATTTTACTCTGATATAAAGTTTTCTATTCTTAGGAGAAATTTTCACAGCTATAATTATGTTTGAAGATCGTTTTCAGCCAAACGTTAAATTAAATAGTTATTATTCTTTAATCACCCAACAAGCAATTGCTGAATAAGCCATTTTTTGCTGAAGAAGCATATTTTAGCCTTAATAAGCTCTTAATCTGCTTCCAATGTTTGTTGGGTTTTTGTTAAGGCAGAGCAATTTAGTGAATCGTTAGATAGATATGAACACAACATTTGGTTTTCCTATAATAATTTCCATATAAACTTCAAATGGTTTGTGACAAGTCAGTTTCTTGCCAAATGAGTTAAAATTTTGCGAGGCTATTCAGAAGAAAGACATTTGTAACCGATAAGTGGATTAATCATCTAGAACCTTGAGAAAATAGGGTCTTATTTATGCTTAAGATCCTTGACTTACCAGATAGGGACTGTTCGTAAACTAAGTAGACCGTTTTGAGAGGTTTTAGACCGACCCCTCCCCCGCGTTGTCAATCGTTCTTAATTTTTAAGGAAACCGTAGACACTTGCCAACCCCCCTCCTAATCGAGATAGGGGAAATGCAGGTAATGTCGACCTAAGTGTCCCTAATTTGGACCCATACATATATATTCAGCAATCGACTAAATTTTCAATAGCAACCAAAAATATCCATAAGTAGCGTCCCAATAACGCGTTCATCTAGATAAAATTGATAAATAGCAGATTTTTAGCGATGGGCCCAATCTTAGATCCGTAGGCCAACATTAGAGACATTTCCCTATATTTCGCTCAGTCTATCAAGTATTCTTCTAAACTAAGTAAAATTTGTTTCGATTTTCCTCATATTCAAGCAGTTTTTCCCGGAAAAATGAGGAAAATTTTAGTCACTCACTGAGTAACCCCATTTTTTGCAATCTTGAGTTGAAAACGGAGAAGAATTGGAATGTTTTTTTTTTTAATTATAGTCACTTTAACAATCTTGGGTCATTCACGACTATTGACCGGTGATGGGATTTGAACTCGTGACTTTGTCGTGAGAGGTATGGATGTCATCCATTACGCCAGGACCGTCCCCAATTGGACTGTCTATGAAGCACCGAATCTCAGAAGAAATGCACTTACCTAGATCATGATGTACAAAGTGATGCTGATAGTGGTATCGCTTCATGTGATACAGATGGCCTCCATTCGGACTTCCATAGTGAATGTAGTAATGGATCATATCGTACGCGAGGTAGCCTGGTGATAAATTGTAAATTCAATTTTCCACATTCTATCTGGACATTTTGGCTCACGTACCTATCAACCCACCGGCCAACATCAGCTGAGGATAGGGCAATAGTAGCCGTACCGGTTGGTAGAAAAAAGTGGCTAGCAATACTGCTGGAAATGGTGGGAACACCAGCCGATAGGGATCGAACGGTACCTTGTGATGTAGACCATGAAGCAGAAAATGGAACGTGTGTAGGAATCGGTTTTCCTTCGGGTCTAAGTGGAACACCCATCGGTGCAGGGTGTACTCCAGCAGGCTCCAAATGAGAACCCCGAAGCATAGACATCCGAAAACGAGTGGAGAGAGATGATCCCGAAGGGTGAGCTCTTCGGGTCCCTTTGATAGGTTATACTTTACGCCCAGATGGATGATGTAGATGATGGCAGGGATCCAGAAGGCAGGCACCACCCACCAGGGCGTTTTGGTGAGATTTTCCAACCATGTGGGTCCAAAGAGACGAAGGTTTCTGTCCACCGGTTTGTTGACCCAGTCGACGTAGTGTTTGCCGAGGGTTGGGATTTGAACCAGCATTGGTTTGCTCCAGTCTACGAGGTGCTGCAAAGGGTAAACATTTTGAAATTGATAAAATGTTATTTGCTGTAGTAAGTCACAATCGACAGCGGGTACAAGCGCTTGAATAATTTGTCTCCTTGCGTAATCTATTTCTGGGTTCACTTATCTATTTGCATAGCGAAACGGCCGTCATCGCGATAAGATAGGCGCATTTGGACGCAGCAGAGTGAACCACCAATAGTATGATTGAGAATGGAAAACTAATAAACCGTGCTTTTCATAGAATCGTTATAGAATCTACTCACTTACCTCCATACTATCGTCAGTACTTTGAGGGATTACTCCATTGGTTCCGTTCGACTGTTTTGTTCCGTTGAGGCCATTTTTGAGCCCGTTGACGTGGCCGTTCGCCTTACCGGTGGTAGTGTTATTGTTTTTATCACAGATCTTGTACTCTTTCATGAGGTATTTGGCGGCCGCCGAATGGCCGGGAGTTTTCTCGAACCGTTCCTGCATGTCCTGCTGGTGGAGGCCTTTGAGAGTGTTGATCCCTCCGGGATGTTTGTGGGCAAAATCGGTCAAATCGTAGACCGAGTCCTTGTAGCGGACCGTCAGGGGACTGCTTTTGGTCATTTTGGCGATTTAAGTAGGCAGAACGTTGCAAGATCCGTTTAATCTTGGTTGGCCATGAAATTTTAACTCTGTAGAAGTGGAATAAATCAAAGATAACGATGAATGGATCATATCATTCGAGCAGTTCAAAATGACGTTTCGAACTAATCATCGTTGTGTGTATTTATAATCCTCGCGTAGAAAACAAACCAATATTTACTCAACTATTCAATTACATTGTAAATATGCCACGCTGGCAGCAAATGCATGCGCAAACACTCCAGGACACTCGATATCAAACAGCGTATAGTAGCAATAACATCACTGCAATTACGCATGACATGTGACATCGCTTTGTATGGACGGAAAAGTGTGCTACTACTGAGCTAAACTATCACAATATTATCCTACGCTCAATCAGAATAGGATCATTATCACGATTAAAACGAAATGAGAACACATATTACGTTTGATCCAATTGAGTAGAAAGTAACATGTAAATCTACCGCATTCGTGCGTTGCTACTACCACATGTCCACGTTTAAACATGATGATCTACTGACCCAAGTTCACATGTATTATACTAGTGGAAGTGGATATCGATTTCCACCATGATAAGCATTCTCCGATTAAATCGACCGCGAATTGCTGCAATGGTATGTAATTATTTACATGGAATCAATCATCCATCAGGAATCGGGCTAACTTCTGCAACTGGACAGATGCATTAAATATTTACTCGTACGACCGCGTCTATGTAAACGTATTGCAGGAACGGATGGCCCATGCACAAAGAGCTATTGGTTGAAAACAAGGCTTATTTGATTTGTCCAGATAGCTGTTTTAATCCACGCTTTTCAGGTTCGTATTAGTGAAAGAACATGTATTCGTTATCTTCTTTGGCTTTTTACGTTCCCATCTTCCACAGCACAGTCAGTAGATGGGGGATTATCTCATCTGCCCGATGGTGATATTACCATAGAGGTAACTCTAAGACTAGTAGGTAGTAGGTCCCGAAGAAACGTGCTCAACTTTTTGGCTAAGGTCTGGTACTAAGCTAATCGATGCACCCCTCGAAACATAGGAAAATCCACAAACCCCTCATTTTAACTGTAAAACTTTCATAGCGAATCAAAACAAACATAGTGTAGTACTAGAATTCCGACTACGCTTATAGCATAGAGGTAACTCTAAGACTAGAAGGTCCCGAAATAACGTGCTCAACTTTTTGGCACAGCTCTGGTACTCTCTTCGGTCTCAAGCTAAATGATTCACCCCTCGAAACATAGGAAAAACCAATAACCCCTCATTTTATCTGTCAAACTTTCATAGCGAATCAAAACAAACATTGCGTAGTACTAGAATTTCGACTAGAATAGGGTACGTTAATCGTTTGCTTGGGACCAATAGGCTACTAAAGTGGTGAGCCAATTTAAAATCGTTAGTTTCGTATTGATTGTTGCTTATAGATGTACTTGGGACCAATAGGCTAGCCAAGTAGTGAGCCAATTTAAAATCGTTAGTTTCCACCGGTTGATATTACAGTGCTTATTTAAATGATCGTTTACGAAAAATCAGTGAGGGAAGTCAAAAGTGACAGTTACGTTATATCGTGGTTTAGCTGTAACTCCAAAAGGAGCCATTTTAGAGACTTTTTGTCTTCAGAAATATTTTTTGATATAAGAAGCACCATATTTTGAACACCAAATAATTCAGTGCCAACATTTCAAAGGGGCGTGATTGCATTTGTAAACAATGGCTTTAGCCGTCGATTTCTCGCGAATGAAAGCTCGATCATGAAAAATAATGACACCAGCAGGAAGATGAATGTTTCCTCTACCAGCTGGCTTTGTTATTTTGGAGAGGTAAGATTTCATTCGCTAGAAATTGACGGCTAAAGTCATTGTTTACAAAAGCAATTACGCCCCTTTGAAATGTTGGCACTGAATTGTGCAAAGATGTACTAAACTGCTATTCAAAATGTATTTTTATAAATTATTCTTTCTGGTGGTTTGATATCTTGGGCAAAGTTGTTTATTAGCCAAAGATATGAAACTTTTACCAAAACGTCCACATTCCAGCTCCCTTAGTTTTCAAGATATTTTTTTTTTTAGATTTAAAGCACCAAAAGTTAGTTTTTTTTTACACTTAACTACCTTTTTCCTCATCAAAAGTAGTAGTATTTTTATTTTTTACTGACGTATTCGAGCAAAAGTTAAATCTTTGCCGAAGATATTTCCACACACTTAATCTAGCTCGGTGAAATCTCCAACAGCCGATTACCTCGGCATTTACTTTTACTGATATATCGGCAAAATATCTGTTTGTTAGCTGATATCTCAGCAAAATAATATTTGTTAGCTGAGCCTCGGCAATAGTTTTACTGAATTTCAGCAAAATAAATTGCAGAACTGCTCGGCTGTTGGAAGATTCCAATTCCGGCGAAAAAAAAATTAAGTTTGCATATAGGGTAAATGAATGGTATGTCGGCCTAAATGCCCCTAATTTGGGCCCATACCAAGGGGCAAGTCACTCAGTGTGCCGAAAGTAAATTCGGCACAGCTTGGGCACATCCATCGGCACACCTTCGGTACAATCTCGTAGGTATTGAATTGTTCATTAAATAAAATGGGAGTACTGCTGGACAGCAGTCATTGAAGTTGTTCACTACATTCACTGTGTATTTCAGAAACATTTTCTAATTGAATATACTACAGGAACTCAGACCAGCAATTCGCTTCTCGGTTCACATTTGAAAATTAGGCTTCCGAGGGCTGTCGCTTGCTATCGATGCCGGTCACAAGTCTTTCAGCTTCTACGTAAATGGAGTGTGCTACGAACCGGAATGCAAGAACAATTTGGATGGATTGGATCATGCAGTGGGGGCGGTTGAGTATGTAAAACTCAAAGGAGAAGATTACTGGCCAATCAAGAACTCTTGGTCCAACTTCTGGGGCTACGATGGATCGGTGAAGGGTAACAACTGTGGCCTTACCATCGATGCGTCGTATGTAAATTTGAAGTGAGATACGTGTCATCTTATCTTCTTCTTCTTCTTGTTCGCATTTCAAGCTTATTGCTTAGCGCATATTAGCTTATTGCGTGCTCTCAACTTAGTGTTCTAAATGCACTTCCACAGTTATTAATTGGGAGCTTTCGATGCCAATACCAATGCATGAATTTGTATATTTTGTGGCAAGCACTATGATACCAACAATCAATACGAAACTAACGATTTTAAATTGGCTCACCACACCAGTAGCCTATTGGTCCCAAGTAAACGATTAACGTACCCTATTCTAGTTGAAATTCTATTACTACACTATGTTTGTTTTGATTCGCTATGAAAGTTTGACAGATAACATCAGGGGTGTGTGGATTCATGCAGAACATGCAGGGGTGAGTGAAATAGCTTGGGACTGCTTGGGACCGTTGTTCTGGTACTGAGTGAGCCAAAAATAATAATGATTTTCTTCGGGACCCAGTGGTCTTAGAGTTACCTCTATGATGATACTCTGCCCAGGGAAGTCGAGAAAATTTCCAACCCGAAAGATTCCCTCGACCGGACCGGGAATCGAACCCGCCGCCTCGGGCTTGGTAATACCGTGCCTTTACTGACTAGGCTATGAGGTCCCCCTGTCATCTTATACGAGACGAAATAAATGGTTTTCGATTTTTGTAACAAAATTAAATGTTAATTAGGTTGAGTGGAAGCAATAAAATTTCCGTGTGATTGTAGTCGGTCAATTGGGTTCTTTAGGGGTGTTGAGGTAAATGCATATTCGTAATCTGCATTAAAAATGGAACCCAAACACAAAATTTCATCGATTTTGGTACACTGGAACTATTTTAAATAAGTTTTTTTTTTTTCCTCTGTTCGGGACCAAACACTACTGCGACCAGTAAATTGATCTATTGTAGTCTATCCCGTGTCCTTAGTTTAGTGCATGTCGTATTACTCCATCACTATTGAGAAATGATGAAGTATTCGATTTTTTTTACAGTTGCCACTCTTGCATTTATCGCAAGGATCCGACTCTAATTGAAAGGTCCCGCTATTTATACCCTTCGGAGTGTTGAAACACCCTCCAAAGGCGCGCCCCTTTGTCAGTCAAAATTGGATTCCTTAGCAACAAAATTAAGGTATGACACCGATAATGACCATGCATCAGAACCCTAGTCTTAACCACTTCAAACTAGGGAACAACGAATAGAAGATTAGGAATCACATAGATGAAGACAACTAACTCATTTTTTCCCTTGTTTCAAGATCATCCTCGGTAGACAAGGCCGAGTCTTGTCACTATCAACAAAGCATAAAAAGTAACAAGGACTAAGATGTGTTCCTTGAATTACTGAAAAATTCTGTTCCCCTAGTTTGAAGTAGTCAGGACTAGGAATCGGTGGTAGATCTTACATCCCGTAACGTACCACGAAAAGGTGATCTACCCACGTTACGGGACACGAAGCTCTTTAAGATGATGTATAAAAACCGATACATTTTTCAAAATAAAGAACCCAATTGGTCTTCTACCAAACCAAACTCATTTGAACAATACCGAAATAATTTTCACGGCACAATCACACGGAATTTTTATTGCTTCAACTCAACCTAACTAACTTACAATTTTTAAACTGAATTTCACTTGTTCAGGTACTACGATAGAATTCTCCAGGAGCTCCAACCCGATGGTAAAACCAAACGTCTTAGTTTGCGATCCTTCTTCTTGGCATAAACCATTCGGACGTCGAAAACCTCCAAGAGCTTCTTGCCCGGAATCATCACGTTCAGCAGTTCCTCTTCTATATTGAGCAGTAAGGTGTAGTGATTCTTAATCGTTTCCGTCGAATCGACCAGCAACGTTCGGACGACATTGGAGTAGTAGGACTTGTAACGCGCACCCAGAGCACAGATAATAGATCCAAACTGCAGATAGTTCTTGTCGCTGAGTGCACTGAACTTCAAGCTGTAATTGCCACCCTACTGGATAATCGCCGAGTAGCACATGTCCAACTACTTGGTATCCACACCGGAGACGTACTTTTTGTCCGTCAGTGCCTGCTCGACACCCTCCGACAGTTTGGCATG